GGTCAATAAACAGATGGGAGGATGGAGAACTGGATAGGAGGATAGACATGAATGAATGGGTGAATGGATGCATGCACATTTACACGCATGGGAGGCCAGACAGGCAGGAGGATAAAGAAATGTATGGAAGGATGGACTGGTGGGAGGACAAATGTGAGAAGGGGAGGGACATATAGAATGAGAAAACCAGTGGGGAGATGTAGATAGGAAGGCAAACTATTATATGTGAGGATGGGAGAAATGGATAAATGGGAGGGTAGACGATGGATGGGTAGGCGAACCAAAGGGTGGTTCTTAATCACACTGAGAATTTTAAGGAGCCTTTAGGGTTTTGCTGGGAGGGTAATGGGAACCTCAAGCTTGGATTTCTTGAAGTGTGGAGGTCAAGGGCAACAGGGATGGAAGAGGAGCTGTGTCTTTTCTTTCCTCCCCTTAGTCGTAGTTCATGACTGCCTTTCTCACCTCCAATTTTCCTCTTATAACCGGGCAGAAACCTAGGTCCTTTACTGCTAACCAAATTGGGAGCAGAGTCATCACTTCCAGAGAATCCTGAGGCCAAAGGGTTTCCAACGGCCCCTACCCAGCATCAGGGGCCACGCCCTCACTGTCATGAGTGGGCAAACCCTGAATGGGACGTCAGGGGTGGCAAAGGCAGCTGGGGTCTTCCATGGGCCAGAGACACAAACTGTCTCCTGAGGTTCTGGGACCATCCCGCCCCCAGCTCCCCAGCCGCCCAGCCCCTGACTTCCCCAGACCACAGAGGACCGTGGGCGTTGCCCGTTCTGGCTATGATGTCATTTGTTGTACATGTTCCGCCTGGAAGGTCTGGGTCTCTTTTCAACCAAGTGAGATGCCGAGCACACAATGGTGCACAACAGCCACGTGTGGGAAATGCTCTTTCATCACAGAAGCAAAGTCTTGGAAGGAACCTCACAGACCATGCAATCCAACCCCCACCGGGCCCAGGTTCCTGCTTGTGCCCTCGCTCTGCATCTCAGTGCTGATGACACCATTGACTGTCTCCGCCGCTGGGATGCCACGGGAGGGCTCCTGCCAACCAGCACAGTGAACCAGCCAGCAAGGCCACGCTGCCAGTTCGCGCAGAGCCCTGTCTAGACCCGCGTCTCAGGACTCCAGGGCCTTGCCTCTCCACGTGGCCCAATGGAGCCAGGGTGGTCTAGGAGCTTGGCGGCCTTGGGTTTGCATTTGGGCTCTGCCACTTGCTGGCTGTGTGCTCCTGGGCAAGTTTATTAACCTCTGCGCCTCAGTTTCTGCAACTCTAAAGTAATACCCACCTCTCAGGCCGCTGGTCAGCTGCTGAGAGAGCAGGTAGAGTGGCAGCAGAGAGTGCCTGGCAGAGGGCAGACACCTACCACATGGGACCTTCTTCCTTCCCATCCCTTGTGCCATCCCAGCCCAAGACAATCACTCCTATTGAGCACCAGGGGACTCCACCATGTGCCACCCTGGGCGTGGAGGAGAGAGATGCTGAGATGATGCTGGTGATGCAGATGGCTTTGCCCTTGTCTGGGCTCAGAGGCTCTTAGGAGAAGGTACCACACAGCCCCAGGCATTGCTTTTCCCCTCCCCTGCCCTGGAGACTGCAGGGAGGAGGCAGGGCTTCCAGGCGACCGTGCCTGGGTAGGCTGTGTGGGTGGTAGGAGCGAATCTGGATGGGCGGCCCCGAGTGCTACCAGCGCCTCCCTGACTGCCCCTCCTGGCCTTTATCCTCTGTGAGCTGCGGAGGTGCACCCAACGGCTGCAGGAGTCTTTTTAAGCCTGGGCTTCATTCCTCTGTCCATGGGCAGAGCCGTGGATGCCATGCAGAGTCCTCAGCTTCTCCGAGTCATCCCATCCACCCGCACCCCCACCCCACCCCACCCCACCCCACCCCCACCAAAAGGCCCCACAGTCCTGGAATGAGGGAGGAAAGGCAGGTGGATGGAAAATGGTGGTGTCTGGACAAGAGGCAGAACCTCCACTGAGAGCGTTAGCCAATGGCCCATCTTCGGCTTTGACCACCTTCCTCCCTCTGCCCCTGCAGCCCGTGGGCCATGAGGCCCGCCCACCCGTCATCTCTGTCCCCTGAGGCGATCGGTGCAAGCCACCCCCTTGGCCTCTGGGGGCCATCTGAGAAGAGGAAAGGGACCCCCAGGCCTCCACAGGGACATCCCAGGGGGCCCTCCCTCACCCCACCCACTGAGGCGCCCCTCAGCAGTGCCCAGGGGCCTGAGCTGCCACCACAACATCTAACACAGAGACGGAGACACAGACAGGCAGACAGAGACAGACAAGAAGGCCCTGAGGACCACCAGGCCCAGCCTCAGCTCTCCCACAGCCTGGCTGGGCCAAAGCCTGAGCGGGAGGAGGAGGGAGAGATGGAGGCCGCCCGGTGGGGCTGCAGCTGGGAGAGGAGGGGTGGCTTCTGCCTGACAGCCCAGGAGGAACAGGAGCCTCCTTTCCTGGCCTTTCCCTCACTCCTTCACGTGGCAGAGAGCCAAGGGGTGAGAAGTTCTCTGCTTCAACCCCCTCCCCACCAGCCCTCCCTGTGCTCTCAGAGCCCGAGATGCCTCTATTCCAGATCTGCTTGCTGCGCTGGCTCTGCAGGTGCTGCCTCTGGAAGCCTCTGTGAGCAGCGAGCAACTAGCACGGTCCCTGATCTCTGGTTATCGCAAAGCCCCCTGGGCCGGGCCTTCAGGACAACTTGGACACAGCCTGCACCCTGAGACCCACCCCCAGGGCATGGGAGGGGCGCCAGCCCCCTGCTCAGGTTATGCGCTCAGGACCAGCCAGGGCTCTGTCCCTCCCGGCTCCCAGGGACTGGGAAGCGCTGCAGATAGGCTCCCTGGCTCCAGTGTGGGTGCTGCTCAGAAAGGGGGCTCCTGCCAGGGAGCCAGGCGTGTCACAGCCCCGGGAAAACACAGACCTGGCCTTTCCCCCCAGAAACAGGCCGCGGGGAGGGGGCCAGGGCTCCTGGGAGATTGCCCCTGGTGGGCGCTCCCGCAGAATGGATGCTTCAGGTTCACTGGCAGGGTGAGCTCCCCAAGGCGAAGGGCAGCTCCGCAGGGCCCCGGGCTGGGAGGTGCTCTTAAGCCTGGGCTCCTCGGGGCTGTGCCCTCGCACCCGGGAGCAAGGACACAGCTATGACCCCTGCTGAGGCCACCTGATGGGTCACTTGATGTTGCCACTCCCACCAGAGAAGGGGGAGGTGCTCCCAAGGAGGAATGGGATAGGGTGATGCCCACGAGGTCCCGGCTCTGGTGACAGCTCTAGCTTTTAACAGTCACTTCCGGTTTTTGGAACCCCCTTTCTTCACCTTCAAGGGGGGGGGGTGCTTGGATAAGAGATTTTTGACATTCAGAGTCAAAGACTGTTATTTAAATTGGCAGTCACTCCTTCCCATCTTTCTCCTCCATAAAGTCCCCAAGGGCTGCTGAGGCCAGGGGAAGTGAGAGTGCAGGGCGTCTGGGGGACTCAGCCTTGTGTGTGGGGGGGTGCTGCCTGGCCAGGGCAGGCTCCAGGGCTGGATGCACAGGGGGCAGGGGCAGGGCTCCCGGCCTGGCTGCCCTGGGGGACCCCATCCAGCACTGTTTATAAGACACCAACAGAGAAGAGGGTGAGGACAAGGAGGGGGGACCACCTCCATCCAAACCAAAACCTGGCGGGAAAGTGAGCTCCACTGAGGATGATGGCGAGAGGAGGGGGGTCTGTTCAAGGGTTAGAGACCAGAGACAGGCACCCGCTCAGAGGAGGCCATGACCAGTGGTGGGATAAGCTGCCCCTGACTAGCACAGAGACCCGAAGGGCTGCACGAGGAGGAGGAGGAGGAGGAGGAGGAGGAGGAAGAGGAGGAGGAGGAGGAGGAGGAGGAGGTAGTGAGGGAGGCTGTGGAGCCCTCGAAGCTGCGGCTTTACCAACAGAAGGAAGGTCAACAACTGGCAAAGGGCGACCTGCTCTGGAGTCTCAGCTACTGAACACCGCGTGGTCCTTGTGCCCAAACCCTGACCCCAGAATCTGCAAAGCACAAGAGGCTGAAGCCACCAGGGAGCCGAGGGCCCAGGCCTTTCTCCCAGTCCCCCCTGCCTGCTCAGCCACTGGGGAGCAATGAGCAAGCGCAGTGTCCCTGCCTGTCCCGCAGGAACAGCCAACAGGGTGAGCAGAGAGCCGGGTCAGGGACTCAGCCCCCTCGTCCGCACCAGGGCGGGCGGCTGCAGCGGCCACCACCACCTGCCCTCACACCTGTGGGAGCCCGCCCTCAACAGCCAGCCCTTCTTCCTTTCACAGGTGCCTGCCAGGCCTGCGCTGCTCTGCTGTGGAGTGTGGCCGGGCCGGATGGCAGGGCTGCCAGTCTGGATGCGGGAGGCCGGGCCCTGTGCCGAGAGCTGCAGAGAAGCTGGGCAGAGCAGGGCCTTGGTCTGAGTGGTGAGGCGGGTGGAGGCCGAGGTGGACTCTCGCATGAGAAGTGACCGTGAGTGTATTCAGTGGCTCGGAGTGGAATGGATTTCCAAATGCAAGCGTGGCTGTGACAGGTGTGGATGCTGGAGTTTGTCAGGTGGGTGGACAAAGGGCTTAGGACACATGCAAAGGAAGGGGTGGGTGATGAGAGCAAACCCAAACCAGGAGGGTGCAAGAGGGCCGCCAGGCGGTGGGGAGTGCCAGGTGCGGGGCATGTGGGGTCCAAGAGGACAGGCTGGGGGGCAGTCTGGAGCCAGCTGCTCTGCCATTGGGGAACCCAGGAAGTGGGGGTGCCCCAGGCCCAGGCAGAGAGGTCTGGGCCCCTGAGCTCTGTGCTGTGGCTCCCAGAGGGGAGCTGCCTGCAGCGGCAGGGCCAGCGGCCCAGCTGACTGTCTCTTACCTTTGGTTTTAAAAGCAAAGTGACAGTGCTTGCACACATAGGGCCGGACGTCAGTGTGGGTGCGGATGTGTTTCTTCAGCATGCTGGGCTTCTTGCAGCGAATTCCACACTCCTCACAAACATATTTCCCTCGGCCGCGGCCTCGCACATATACATACTCTTCGTTTGATTTGTACCTATGAGCAACAGGCGTCAGGGTAAAGGAAACAAAAGGAGGAGAAGAGGCAGGTCCCCACCTCAGAAGATGCGCGCGCTTCCTAGCTGCGTCCGGCCCGGTGCAGGCGCTGGGAGAGGGGGACGCAGAGCCAGAGCAAACCATCTGGGTGATGGGGACAAGGCACCCTGGGGATCCAGCATGGACCCCTGCACCTGCCCTGCCCCTCAGCCTGGGGCGGCCCCTCCTCCCCTCCCAGAGCCAGCAGACCTTGGTGCCTCCTGCCGGGAGGTGAGGCCACAGGTCCGCAGAGGGACCCCTGTTCCAGAGCCAGCCGGGCACCAGCTTCTGCCCACAAACAACGGCCACTCTGGGCCACCAGCGATACAAAGAGTAAAAAATAAGGTGACAGCCACGGCTCTAGCAGCTACCATGTCCGATCGCTCAGTCTGTGCTGGGCACTTGACCTGAATTATACCACAAGCACGAGGAAGAACCCCTAAGAGCAGAGGCTCCAGAGCCAGAAAGAGATGGAACTGGGATCTGGACCTGCCGTCCACCTCCCCCGACGGCGGTGCTAAGTCTGCCAGGAAGCCCCCCAGACGCTCGGTGAGGGGAGGACGAGGGACAGCCATCATTTCTCTGTCCTCACAATGTGGAAATCGGGAGCCCCGCACCCTCTCCCCAGAGTCTGGCCTCCAGAGATCACGTGGGTGGGAGTTGCTAACCGCCTTCAGGAGCCACCCCCCTGCTGGGCCTCAGGGCCACCAGCGCCATTGGACCTGCATCAGAATGCTCTTATGTCCACTTGGAAGGAAACCCATGAGGCTCACTCATACCGTCCTCACCCAAATGCCTCCCTGTCTAACGCTACAGATGTGCAAGTCTCCGGAGCGGCGGGAAGGCTGTGCTGGCGAAGGGCTGGGGAGGGGATCCTGGTGTAATGCCAGAAGTGCTCTCTGACTCATGAGGCCTGGAGGTCCCAGGGTATGGCTGCCTGAGGGAGGCGTGGCCTCTCAGCCTGCTGAGCCTGCCTCGAGGTCCAGCAAGAGGCCTGCGTCCCCCACTCGCCCCTACAATACGCCCCTGTCCACGTGATGTGAAGCTCAAGCATGGGGGGCAGGCACAGAGGGGCAGGAGGTGCTGGGAGACTGAGGAAGAGAGAGCAGCTGGGACCCCATCCTGCTCCACAGGGGCCATCAGCTGACCCTGGGGGACATCACAGGATGGGCTTCAAAGAGGGGACTTGGGGGGAGCTGGCAGGCAGGACAGTGATCACCATCACACACACGCACATACACACCGCCTCCCCACACTCACACACGCACACTCACATACTCACATTGCCTCTCCATGCTCACATACTCACACACACCACCTCCCCATGCTCACTCAGACACACACACTCACATACTCACACGCTGCCTCCCCACACTCACATACTCATACACACGCTCACTTACACTGCCTCCCCACACTCACATACTCATACACACACCCACATACTCACGCTGCCTCCCCCATGCTCACACTCACACACGCACACTCACATACTCACACGCCGCCTCCCCATGCTCACATACTCAGACACACACACTCACATACTCACATACACAGCCTCCCCATGCTCACCTAGACACACACACGCTCACTTACACTGCCTCCCCACACTCACATACTCATACACACACACATACTCACACACACCACCTCCCCATGCTCACCTAGACACACACATGCTCACATACACTGCCTCCCCATGCTCACACTCAGACACACACACATTCACATACACACACTGCCTCCCCACTCACACTCAGACACACACACTCACATACTCACACGCACCATCTCCCCACTCTCATCTAGACACACACATGCTCACATGCACACACTACCTCCCCATTCTCATTCTTAGACCCACACTTGCTCACATATACTCATGTACCACACTCACTCACACTCACGCTGGCATGCCTCATATATATTCACACTCACACCCACACACTCATGTACTCACATACTCACCTCACATACACTCACTCAATCCCCTCACTCACACAGTGACACACACCCTCACACCCCACATATTGATACTCACAAACGCACACACACTCACACACATGCATTCACACATGGACTGCTGTCTATGGGTACAGGTGGATCCTGTTTTCTGGCATCTGATGCCTCTCAAGTTGTCTAAACCAGCGGTCGCCAACCTTTCAGACCTCATGGACCACCAGTGGTCCACAGACCACCGGTTAGTGACTGCTGTCTAAACCACCACCCTTTCTCCCCCTGCAGTCCCTGACCGGCCAGTTCAGGTGCCCAGTCCTCAGGCTGGAGGTAGCTCTTCCCCTGATTTAGGGCAAAGCACTACCTCGTGTTCGAGGGGCGGAACTGAAGGCCATGGAGGAGGGTGGGGGAGAAATGACTCTTTGTTCTTATGAAGAGCACCCTATGTGCAGCACTTCACCCTCACGTAGCAGGCTTCCTGGACCCAGCCCGCTACCACAGCGGTCTGAGGGGGGCGCCCTTCCCCACTGCAGAAGAAAGAAGGGAGACTTGGTCTCCTCTTTGCACTGGAGGTTCCACCACCTGGCCACCTCCCTTTGGCTCTGCTCGGCGGGTCCATGACACCCCTCCCCTCTGACATTCAGCCACCATGGCGTCCTCAGCGTCCCCCTTTCCTTCACCCCAGTGCCATAGTGGGCGCCATGAGGTCCCTCCCACACTGGCCACAGCCACCCTGACTTCTGCCATATCTGGGCTTTGCTTTAGGCTCAAGCCCAACTCAGAAGCAGGCCACCGGGTGCAGCTGTCATTTCTTCCTCCAGAGCCGGCTTATATCACACAGTCCTCCCAGGTGGAGACGCACACACACAGAAAGGCCTCGGAGATAACCTGGCCGAGCCCCAACTCAGGGAGGGAGGAAGGGGAGAAGCCTCTATACCATGGACAGTGGGCTGGGCCAG